CCATCTTCCCGGGGGGATGGACATGCACTACAAACAGGATTTAAGTGGCTCCTGCATAGAGCAAAAGAGCTCTGTTACGAGTAAAAAGTAGTTGTTGTGAGAGCACGCGACACTGACTGTAATAAGGCTCTGCACATCAGAATATTGGAAAAGTTTAGGTTTTATTGATTTGAGTTTCGGAAAGGTGTTGACCGCATGGCGCATTCTGAAGGTGAAAAGGAGGTTACTGGGTGTTCATAAATAAAAACTGACCTATTTCGCTGTCTTAACTTTCAGAACATCAACAGTATAACTATGTACTACGAGAGTAAAGTAATATCATGATATATCAGATGATTTCAGAAAGAGCGGCGGATACGACAATGTAAAGAGCGATTGGATCGTCTCCTGAACAAGGAGGACGATTTGTTATCAATTTCCGGAGGTGCTAATAACACTCGAAGTGTATCTGGTACGATCCTTTCAGTTTTTTTTCTAACCAGTAACATTACTTATCCATTCCTTGAAAGGTGACTAAGAGAAGAGCATCAAAATCCATGAAAAGTTTCATTCATGGAAAACTCGGCCGGTTTTTTTCCACGATGATATCAGTGCAGTGCATCATTCATCAGCTGTTTTTGAACAACATAGTTTTTTCGGGGTAATCTTTTGGGAGATCAAAAACAAAACAAACAGCCTTCATAGGCGGAAAACGTTCAAAGAAACAATATTACTGTAACAAATGGATTTAATTGTATTTTAAAAAATTTTGCTATTATTATTTTGCAAACGTATCTTCTTACGCTTCATTACGGCTCTAAAGGGCAAGTGCAATCATACAAAAAAGCTCATTACAGTGATCATTTTGACGCCTACATTGTTCGGTGGGAAAAATGTAATCACACTGGGTGGGTGGTTTATAGGGAGGAGCGTAAGTACAATTGAGATCAGCTGAGAGATGACGTCATTGTCTGGGAACTTTTCATGGGCTTTTCATTACCAAAATACCCAGACTCGTGACCAATAAACCCGGAAAATAATTACTGCTTGATATTTCATGTGATCCAAAGGTCTGGGAACTTCCCAGTGTTTTCAGAGGCATTTTGACTGCCTTGGGCGGAAGTATTTACTTGGAAGTTTTTGAAGACACTTATGTGAACAATGATGATTTTAGGACATACCAGTTCTGGGATCAATCGCGGTTCAGAAATGATGCACAGTATAAACTGACCAGTTTATTAGAAACGAAAAAAATCAAAGAATTCATAACAAATCGCTTACTAGTTATATTTGACTGCTTCAAAACGAGTAATAACTAAACAAGGCCGTTATCTGTACTAGTTTTCATATATACAATTAACTTATAAATCCGGATTCATTTTTGTTCAGAAGACAAAGAAACGTTCTCAACGCCAACAACACTTACTACTACTGCATTAATAGAATTACAGCCAAGCAGTGAAAATACGGGTAAGTGATACCATCAGGTGATAAGCAATGATAATATTGAGTAATAGCGACTACTACTTTACTTTGGGGTGGTACTTCCCTATAAAGAGTAGGTTTATTTATGTGATGATTGGTGTAGAGGAAAGCAACGGGAGGGGAGAAAAGCAGTGAAGCGTCATGTGCATAAGTTACGCTAATGCAATGGCATAGAAATTAGATCGTAAGAAAATGGTAAACAACAACAACAACCACAACAATATTCCATTGAACCAGAAAACGATAACATATCTAAGAACAGTATAGTATTACTGGTTCTATCGATCGATCGAGGTAGAACCGGGACCTGAAAAGAAGAGTTTATTGGGTGGTACTTTTGCCGTTTCAATGATAGCCAAATGTTTCCAAATACACTACGATTAGACTGCTGACAATTGTCCCTTTGTGCATACCCCTCCCCGGTGGCTTTGGAAAACGTTTTTTTCGGGACGTTTTTTTGCGACGCGCAACGACTGCTGACACAGGGTTTTTTCTTTCACTTCCAAGTCCAGAGATCGTCATGGGGGGTAGTGGCGCAGGGGGGCAGCCGCGTTTGTCACCCCCCACATCGCGCCCTCCCCACGTCATCGGCCGCCGAGTTTCGAGGCGCCTTTTCTTTGCCATTATACACTTTTTCGGAGGCGGTAAACTTGTTCATAAATCATGCCAAGCATGTGTCCGTCGGAAATGGTCATTCTATGGTGTTCACGGTGTATCAGTGTTAGAAGAAAATGCTCGTTAAAATAAACAAAAATCAATAAATGGAATTATTTAGGTCGCTATATGGCAATAGAAAATGACAACTCGAGCACGTCGTCGTCTGATGAAATTCTGTTATGATGCTTTATATTATTGTATACATACGAATAGTCAATGATTGCCATTCAAACAATGTGTCATCACATCTCT